CTTTTATGGATGTCCAGATTTTAGGGTGGGTTTCACTTTTGAAAAAATATTATTATTATTATTATTTTGGCTTTTAGTTTCGAACAATGATTTTATATGCTCAATTTGGTTATAGGAAGAGGATGTGTCGAAGAAGTGTGATTACTTTGTGTGGCATGATACAGACTTCACCCAAAGGGCCAAAGATGTTATTTGGTACCTCTATAACGAAAGGAAGAAATTGTTAAGGGAAAATTCTGAGCTAAGAAAGTAGTTGAAGCACAGTCATGAGGAAGAGGTTGAGCAAACGAGGCAAAGGCAAAGTGTTAGTGTGAACGAGGGGATAAAGGAAACTGCAACTAATCAGCCAGTGGAAGAAGTTGGTTGTGATCAACTGTCTAAAATTAATAAGGTGGAAAAGAGGATGCATGAAATGGAGAATTTGTTGGAAAAGAAAATGCAGACTGCATTCTGTAAACTTGGATGTGTTATTGTTGCACTTTGCTTTTTGAATTTGGCATTTATAAACTTCTTGTTTTGGTAGAATGTTGGAAATTTGAGTGTGGTTAAGTATGTTTTTGGGCATTTCATGTAACTTTGGAAATGGCCAGAAGTTATACCCAATTTGGCCAAAAATTTATCTACATGAAATGAAATGTCTTGTTTTGTTGTGTCCATCACTATCACTTGTTTGCAAGCAAGGTGTACAAATAATTTTCATTTTTGGCCATTCATTGAAAGAAAATATACAAAACCAAATTTTGCCATTCATTGAAAGAAAATATACAAAACCAAATCCCCTATTCAGCCATACATTAAGTGTTGTTTTTGCAATTTACTGTTACAAAATATTGAAAATGGTGAATCCATATGACCATATATATTGTTGTTTTTGGTCATCACCTTTACAAGCTATATAGATAAGGACATGACATTGGTTTAACCTATTTGGTCACAATTTGAATAAACCAACTATTCAAAAACGACAAAAAGTAACTAACAAAACATCTCCATTTAAAAAGCAATATTTAGGTCTTCTCATTGCCTTCTGTTGTGGTAGGTCTTGCAGGCACACTACTGGCAGCAGCATCATCAACACCCTACATCATTCAACCAGCAAATGCATTTAACAATCTAACTATAAAACTTATATATATAAAAAAAAAGAATATGGTTTCAAACATACAATAAAGCTCCCTGTGGCTGTAGGGACCCTCGCCTTCTTTTTCTTGCTACCTGAGGTTGAGGCACCTTCACCTCCTTGTTTCTTTCTCTTGTTTACACCCTGGAACCAAAAAAAAAAAAGTTTTAAAGCATGTTTCTTCAAGCATCCACTAAATTCATAGGGAAGAAATATAGTTTCA